AGGATGGAGAGATTAAGATCGTAGATTGTAATGCGCATACTCCATACGCATGCGCGGTGGATTATCCACCGCTATATTTGCAAAGGAGAAAATCAGGCGTCTTCATATCACTTGTAAGTTTAATTATTTGTGAGTATAGTATTAATATACGGAATTTATAATGTTAGTTTTGAGGTTAGTTTTCGTAATTACTCTTTAATTATTGTAAATAAGTCATAATAAGTATGTCAATACTTTGCATTATCCAAATATTCAGTTATCCAAATATTTACATACAACAGTGCAGTGCAAGAAAGTTAATTCCAGTATAATTAATCACTTGTATAAATGAAATATGCAACTTTCTAATAAATCAAAATGTTACTCTCTATGATGATGTTCTGATAACTCATCAAAAGAATCGCCGCAATTTTCAGTTTTCTTAATTGAAATTTATTAGCCTTTAACCTTAAATTCATATATCAAATGTACACTGCAGCTGACAGCTGTGTATAATTCGCTTGCGCGCGCATTCCCTCCCTACAGTCATGCGCATTACCAACTACGATCTTAATCTATTCCTCTCTGTCAATCTACTCGCCTTCACTTTCGAGAGACTATGCTCCTTCCAGTACTATATGTTCTAAGGTTTACATCGTTGAGGTTTGCCATAGAAAGAGCAAAGACTATTAGAATAATTCAAGAAAATAGTTTTGGGCATAAGAAAGATTTTCAAAATAGTAAAGAAAGAAGAAAAGAATCTGAAAATGGTAAAGAGGGAGAAAATAATAAAGAGAATAGAGAGAAAGAAAATGGGAAGGAAAAATTTGTTAATAAGAGAGAGTGTTGGGAGTGTGGAAAAGAGGGGCACTTTCGATCCGAGTGTCCAGGTAATTATTAATAATGAACTTTTTTTTTAAAAAGGGCGGGGGTCTCGTATCATTTAGTATTTAATTTTCTTGCTTAATAGTAAGTGTTTGATTTTCTTAGCAATATAAGCTGCCTGTTTTAATTTATTGAAGTTACAGAGTCGTGACGAGAGAAATGGGAGGATGACTCGGATACTCC